GGGCACCCGCCTGGGCTAGTGCGGACATCGTGGACCTTGTCCACGATCTCTGCACTAGGCACAGGAAAGTGGCCGTCTAGGGCAGGAGAGCTGCCAGCCTGGCCACCCAGGACCAGGTGTGCATGAAAATCAAGGGGGTCCACTGAGACCCCCGACCCTGAGCCCTGAGCTTACAATGGCCGTCCTGGGTCAGACCAAAGGTCCATCTAGCCCAGTAGCCTGTCTGCCAACAGCGGCCAACCCTAGGGACCCTGGAGGGGATGGACCGAAGACAATGACCAAGCCATTTGTCTCGTGCCATCCCTCTCCAGCCTTCCACAAACTTTGGGCAGGGACACCACTCCTACCCTCTGGCTAATAGGACTCCATGGACCCAACCTCCATGACTTGATCTCACTTCCCTTTAAACTCTGTTCTAGTTGTAGCCTTCACAGCCTCCTGCAGCAAGGAGTTCCACAGGTTAACTATTTGCTTTGTCAAGAACAACTTTCTCTTACTAGTTTCAAGCCTGCTACCCATTCCTTTCCTTTGGTGTCCTCTAGTCCTTCTTTATGGGAACTCATGAAGAACTTTTCTGAATGCACCCTCTCCACCCAACCCCTGCTTTTAGAGACCTCTATCCTGTCCCCCCTCCGTCTCCTCTTTTCTAAGCTGAACAGTCCCAGTCTCTGTAGCCTTTCTTCATCTGGGACCTGTTCCCAACCCCTGATCATGTTAGTTGCCCTCCCCTCTCCCAGCCTTTCTCTTCCCCTCTCCCACCTCCTTTTCCCAGTCTCCCCCAGTTTTTTTTCAATAAAGACAGAGTCAATGTTGGAAGAAACGTTATCTTTATTTTGTACATCAATAAGAAGGGGGGCTAGGGAAGGGTAAGTGGAAGGAGGTGAGGGAGGAATGGGGTACGAGCCCCCGATGGGGAGGACTGGGCTGGCTCTGCGGGCTTCTGGGGGTGGAAGCTCTCCTGCAGCCCCCCAATTACTCCCTCTCCCCAGATGGCAGCCTGCGGCAAGTGCAGCCGGGCTGATGGCCGAGTGGTGTGATGTGCCCAGTGTGGGCACTCAGGGCACTCCAAGCCAGAACTTCTTTGCAAGCGGGGCACCCCTTAGAACTGTGTGTCCGGGGTGGGGGTCGGGACCCTTTAAGCGCAGCCCTCGGCTAGCCTGAGACAGCATCTCCATGCTCTAAGTCCTCCTTTTATGCCCTGCCGGCACTGCTTCCGGCCATCCTTAAGCCCTGTTCAGAGTCCACTCAATGTGGACTTGCTAGTTCGAACTAGCAAAACGCTAGTTCGAACTAGTTTTTAGTTCTAGATGCGTTAGTTCGAACTAGCTTAGTTCGAATTAACTAATTCGAACTAAGTTAGTTCGAACTAGCGCTGTAGTGTAGACGTACCCAGGGTGGGGAGGGTGGTGTGTGATCACTGGCACGGGCTTGGGATGGGAGAGCAGTGGGGTACAGTGACGCTGCCTACCCCTCCACATCTGATCTGAGCCGCCCCTGAGTCTGGAAGGGTTTAACATCCTCCTCTGCCCAGTGCTTTGCACACTCCGTCCCCAGAGAAGCAGGGACAAAGATCTCTGGCTCCGTCTGGCCAGAGGCAGGAAGGACTGGCCGTCTCTCACTCACCCCGTCGCTTGAGATTCTCAGCCCATCTGGGAAGGCCAGCGATTGGCTTTGTCAGAAGCAGCTTCCACACCTTACCTGAACCTTCACAGGTCTGCAGTCCGTCATGAAGGGCCAGACTTTCCCAGATGCTCAGGGACACCATTCTGGCGCTCAGCACCTTCCCTTAGGGGCAGATTTTCAGGAGCGGAGCTCCCGACCTGCTCCCAAACCGGAAGGTCGAAGGGAGCCGCATTGTTTGGGATCCTAGTGGCTCAGAGCTCTAAGACACAGTGAAATTCCCCCAAACCCGTCATTCTGGGGCTAAAATAACCCTCATGCCTGTTGTGTGTCTCCATCCCTGGGCTCTCCTAGGTTGGAATTCATCTACATGGTGAACAGCTGTTTTATCGACTGGGACGTGGAGATGTATTACCCTGCCAATGACACGCCGGCAAAAGCCAGGAGCACCAGCCTTAATGACCAGCTGGGCCAGATCGAATACGTCTTCTCGGACAAGACGGGCACCTTAACGCAGAACATTATGACCTTCAAGAAATGTTGCATCAATGGGATCATCTATGGTACCTCTGAGTGGAAGCAGGTTTCTGTGGTTCTTGGGGGAAGTTGCTCTTGAATAGTTGTGGGATGCAAGGCCCCTGGGTTCTCTTTCTTGCGCTGCTCCAGACCAAGTCATTTAATCCAGTTCATTAATATGCACAAGGGGCTTTGATGTCCTCAGGGCCCGGGCGCTGGAGAATCCCGTGGCAGATGTGGTGGGGCAGCTGGTTGGCCGGGACAGCAGCTTTTCTTGCTGACCAGGGTTGGCTGCGTGGTGCACCCCGCCCTTAGGGTGACCGTATGATCTGTGTCAGCCAGGACAGATGCTTTTTGAAGCCCTGTCTGGGCTGTCCCGACGTTCTGGGCACAAGTGGGCGTTTGTCCCGTTTGCTGTTGCCCACTAAAGGACAAATGGAGCAGCATGGGGGGAGTCGCCAGCCCCTCATGTGAGGGGCGCAGGGCTTGGGCCAGCAGCAAAGCCAACCCTGCCTGAGGAAGGAAGGCCAGGCCTCAGGCCAGGCCACCCAGAGGTGGGGACGCTTGGGAGGACCCCACACCCTGTCTCCTTTTCCCTTTGGGGAATATGAGCACCCTAGTTGGCTCTGTCTTCTCACTCTGTTGTTGGGCCCTGACCCATGGTGGGGGTGCTTGGGGGCGACCACAGTCCGACGGATTGTTATATATTATTACAGATAATAAGTGCGCTTTATCGTCCCCTGAAGAGAGCGGCTGGGGATTGTCTGCCAATACTCAGTCACTAGAGAGGACCCAAGCCCCAAAGCTCTGCCCAGGATCCACCTCCCCCAGAGAGACGGCCGCAGGGGTGTATTTCAGACCTGACTCCCTGTCAGAGCCATCCCGAAAGCAGCCATTTTGGAACAACTGGCTGTTCTCCCTTCCGTCACAGCCGCCCTCGGCCGGCCCGGTGACACTAGGGACAGGACGTATGACCTGGATGACTGAGGGCAGGCTGCTGGAAAGCTGGCAGGCGGTGTTCCCTGGAGCTGGGCGCTGCTGCGGCCACTCAGGAGAAATTCAAATGCCGCCCAGCTGTTTAGCAGAGCACCCACAGCGAGGGTTTGCATTTCTACTGGTGGTGCACATTCACATGTGGTGCACTAAAAAATGTCTGCCGCACATGGCTGGAAAAGATGGGAGGGAACACTGGTGGCAGGCAGAGGTGTTTATTGAAAATGAGGTAGCGGATTAAGAGCTGAGTGGAGCCGGAAATATATTTTATTTCCCACAAACCTTTTTTGAGAGGAAATGAATTTTTTTTCTGCAATTCCCATATTTTTCAGGTTTTTTTTTGAAAACTCAACAGCTTTTGGCTTTCAAGATGTTGACCAACTCCTCCTTCTCCCCCCCCTCAATTCAACAGACACAGAAATGTCCTCAAGAAAATATCAATTTTGCCAAATCAGTGACACGTAGTGCTGAGGGGAGTTTAGCCCAGAAATGATTCCTCTTGATAAATTCCTTCTAGCCGTCTGCAGCTTTATGGTGATGCTCCAGAGTGCGTTACTGCAGTGGTTCTCAACCAGCGGTACTTGTGCCCAGTGGGAACACAGAGCTCTTCCAGGGGTTCATCAACTCCTCTTTTTACCTAGTTTCACAACAGGGGGTATAAAAGCCGTAGCAAAGTCAGTACAAACGTCAATTTCCTACACTGACTTACTTATGCTGCTCTGCATGCCATACCCTGAAATGTAAGCGCAATAGTCCAGTTGATAAATAGATGACAAAAGGGAGAAAGTAGGGGTTTGTCTACACTAGCCCCCTAGTTCGAACTAGGGGGCTAGTGTAGACATACCCCAAGCGATTATTCAGGACTAGCTGAGCCGCATCTGCATTTATTTGTATGTCTGATTTTGTAAGCACGTCGTTTTTACGTGAGGTGAAACCTGGGGGGTTTGCAAGACGAATCAGACCCCTAAAAGGGGGGCAGTAGTCTGGAATTTTGAGAGCCACTGCATTACTGTGACTTTCCCTGCTGCACCTCACTAGTTCTTCTCAAATGTGAGCTGCAGAGGAGGGAGAGAAAAGGGGCTGTTCTTTTATGATGGAGAAAGTCCCTGAAGTTTTAAAGTTATTTTAGGCTTGTTTTTATCCTTAGAAATATCAAGATTGTCAGGTCTCGTCTCCCCAGGTATTGCTGGATGACTAGCTGGAAGCGTCTGATGGTTTGGGGAGCGTTTTCAGTTCTTAATTGAGATCACTTGCAAGGCAGGGTGCATGGAATCTTTACCCAGAGAGCGTTTCCCCTGACTGCTTATAGGACTTCTGTGTTAAAGAGTCATTGACAACAACAGAGGAGAGGAAAACCCCAAGGAGCTTTAAGGAGAGAGACTAAAAATCACTTTTGTGTCACCAGTAACTCTAACTTCTCCATGGTCTCTGTAATGTCACACTCCTTCCAGGTCTCTGGTCAGCCTTAGAGTTTCCCAGGGAAAGTAGGTCAGGCGAGGTCTGAATTTCTAATGCTAAAAATATAGAATCATAGAATCCCAGGGCGGGCAGAGACCTCAGGAGTCATCGAGTCCAGTCCCCTGCCCAAAGCAGGACCAACCCCAACTCAGTCATCCCAGCCAGGGCTCTGTCAAGCCAGGACTTAAACACCTCTAGGGATGGAGATTCCACCCCCTCCCTAGGGAACCCAGCCCAGGGCTTCCCCACCCTCCTAGGGAAATCGATTTTCCTAATATCCAACCTAGACCTCCCCCGTTGTAACTTGAGCCCATCGCTCCTTGTTCTGCCATCCGAGAACAGCCTCTTTGGAATCTCCCTCCAGGTAGCTGAAGGCTGCTCTCAAATCCCCCCTCCCTCTTCTCTTCTGCAGACTGAACAAGCCCAAATCCCTCAGCCTCTCCTCCTAGATCACGTGCTCCAGGCCCCTCATCATTTTGGTTGCCTCCGCTGGACCCTCTCCAATGCACCATACCCTTTGTGTAATGGGGGCCCCAGAATTGGACACAAACTCCAGATGTGGCCTCCCCAGTGCCAAATATGCAAAAAACAAAGATGAAAAACAATGAGAAGTTTCACCCAACCAAAAACATCCCTTATTTTGAGCCAATTGACCCCCCCTTCCCCCGAGCCTGTCAGGCCTTCTGCATAAGGAAGCAGATAATACAATAAAAGCCACTGATTTTCATTTTGCAAAGTACCGGTTGGAGCCTGCAGGAAGGGGGCAGGGACTTGGCAGTGGGGAGCCAGGAGAGACCAAGACTCCCTCAAGGCGGGGGTGAAGGTGGGAGAAACCGGAGGGCAGGCGACAGGTCCTGGAGAAAATTGTTCTCTGACTAATGGAAGGAAGATTTGTAAAAGTGACCAGTGGTTTTGGGAGGGGGCCATGTGAGACACTTGATTTCCAGAGGATGGCGCCTCTTGTTTTCTGTTGGCCAGGTCAAGGTGTCGTCAGCTGGGCACCCAAAGTCACCGGTCGCTCCAGACCATCGCGCCACTAAGAAGGGTTCCCCGCCGGCTCTTTACTGACCGGTTTCTTTTTCATTTCAGCTGGATCTGCTGACAGCGAACACAAACCTTCGGTGCGTAACTATCCCAGGCAAACGGAAGGCCGGCGCTTGCTCCCAGTTGAAGGCAATGGCCAAATGGCCATTGGTGACAACAGCAGCAGGACTGGCCCCTTATTTTGTAGCAGGTCTTTCTCAATACCTTGGTAGCAGTTTATGCCGCTCAGAATGGAGACACAAGGGGTCAGGCAGGGGCAGGTCAACAGATTCGCCATCTGCAGTCCCTTACCCCACTGCCCCGTGGGCATTCAAAGCTGGAGTTCTGATCTGGAGGCGTTTTACAACCACTCTGCACTCACCAGGCTCTTGAAAGCAGCGAGACGTCCCGGGGCACCTTAGGGTCTGTCTACACTGCCACCCTCGTTCGAAGTAGGGTGGCTAATGTAGGCATTCGAACTTGCAAACGAAGCCTGGGATTTAAATATCCCGGGCTTCATTTGCATGTTCCCGGGCGCCGCCATTTTTAAATGCCCCGTAGTTCGAACTACCTGCCCGTGGCTACACGCGGCACGGACCAGGTAGTTCGAATTAAAGCTCCTAATTCGAACTACTGTTATTCCTCCTGCAAGGACAGTGGAACATCAGGCTCAAGAGGTCTGACTCCGATCTCACTTGTGCGGGTGTAAATCCAGAGTGACTCTGCTGAAATCAGCAGAGCGGCACTGGCCTCGGGCCGACGGGGGAGGAGAGCGAGGCCCGGTCTCTGTGCAGACTTGCCGGGAGTTCCAGGTCTGATGTTGCTCCAGATTAGCTCAGCGGACCCAACGTAGTGTGCGGACGTGCCGCCGCTGCTTTAAACCGGAGGGAGATTGGGCGCGCTCCATAAGGCAGCTTCAGTCGCTACCTGATTTGACGGCATCTCTTTAGTCAAGCTGGTGCAAATTCTGCGTGTACACCAGATGTGAGACCCCAGGAGTCTGAGTGTGGGGCCTTCCACTCTGTGCACGTCTATGGCTCCGGGTATGCAGCAGTTATATGTGGCAGAGCGGAGACTCCCCTGCATAGCAGCCAGCCTGGCAGCCAGCACCTCCGTCCTGAGCCATTGTCGGCTTCCAGGGACCAGAAGGAAGCTGGGCCTGCCTCTCCCAGGCCAGCTCTGAGGATGCTCCTAGCCCCGTGTTGATCAGGACAAGAACTGTCTCCAAACACCTGCTCCGTCAGGGCTTGTGATGGTTCCAGATGGGTTGGTATTCCTGGGGAGCAGCGCGCTAGGGAAGGGGTAGCAGATTTGGGGCCCAGTCCTCCCTCCCCTGTACCTACTACAGTCGTTTACACCGGCGCTAAAGCCTCGGAAGTTGTCCCAGCTCGGAATGGCAGCATTTCGCAGCCGCTGTGCCCAGGGCTGAATGGCGACACCAGGGGCCAATTTTCAATGGAAAATCCGGCCCATGGACGTCAATATCTTCTCATACCAACGTCGTGGTGCCTGCCGTCACATGCTGCAGTAAGGCTCCGTTTACGAGTGGTTGCTAAAGGGTCAATAAGCGATCACTAGACGTCAAGGCATGTTGCAGATGGTTATAAGCCACAGTTATAAGCAGGGCTGTCAATTGACATGCGTTTACACTTGCGATTAACGCAGTCCAGGATTATTTTTTAACGCGTTAATTGCAGGCGTTGATGCTGCGCTGTCCCTTTGAAGTGCTGCTCTGGTGTTTCAAAGGAGCAGCGCTGCATGGAGCCCGGGGTCAGCTGGGGACTCCAGCTGATCCCGGGCTCCATGAAGCGCTTCCCCGTTGAAACTCAGCGGCAGCGTTTCAAAGGGGAGGTGCACGCAATGAATCGTGTGATTGATCGCAGTTACATTTTTTAATCCCTTGACAGACCTAATAAGCAAACTAATGCTTGGCTGGGCTCTAGGAAGCTTGATTAGCCAGTTACCAAAGCCATCTTTTAATCATGTTTGAATATTAATCAGGTGGTTCCTTAATTTCTTGGATAGTGTGCAGCAGAGTCTCCCACTGTAGTCAGCACAGTATGTTGATCTTAATGGGTTGTTCACTTTCAGTCCTTTGGGTACGATGTTCATCTTTTTGCATTTATCCAAGTACATCGTACCCAAAGGACTGAAAGTGAGCAACCCATTAAGATTAACATACTGTGCTGACTACAGTGAGAGACTCTGCTTCACACTAACCAAGAAATTAAGGTACCACCTGATAAGTATCTTATACAAGGTTTGAATGTGTTATAAACAGCTCCTGCAGAGAGGCTGAGATCCTGGGCCGTTTGGCCCAGTAGAGGGGAAATGGAGAGTAGGAGACAGGGCACTAGGGGAGACAGAACCAGTTTAGGGCCTGTCTGCACTTTGGCCGGGGGCGGGAAGCAAAACCAGAGTACGTCCCCGTCGGAGACCACAGGCTGGGTGTGGCTGGCCTGTCCTGCGGCTAGCGCTGCCCTCCGGTCTAGCACGGGTGTGTCTCCTTGGGCGGGAATCCCACCCCCAGCTCCCCATGTAGACGGGCCTTAGATGTTCCCTTCCAGGGAATGGTGCTCCTGGGGGCTGAGCCGGGCTGGCCTGGATTAACATCCCGACCCACCCCTCTTGCAGGCGGCCGGGCTGAGCTGGAACCCGTACGCGGACAGCAAGGCGGAGTTCCACGACCCCTCGCTCCTGGAGGCTGTCCTGCGCAACGACGACCCGGTGACCAGGGAGTTCCTGCGGCTGCCGGGCCTCTGCC